CTGTTGTGTGTGTGTGTTTTTTGGTGGGGGGGGGGGGGGGGGGGGGGGCGTTTTGAAATATGTTTATTTTTGGAAAATTGTAATAGAAACACTTTCTGTCGCGTCACACGAGTCACATGATCAACAACCATGTTGCCAACGGCGCAAACCACGAAGAAGAAACAAACAGGAAGTAGAGGATCATAGCATGTTTTTTAATGACTTAAAAGGTGAACAGACTTGCTCACGTGTGATTTTAATTGCGTTTTTTACTTAATGGAAACATTAGCACAACATTGGCAACATTTGGCGCACGTGTAATAGAAACGCAGACACTGAGTGAAGTTCAGAATGAACTTTCAGACAACCCACATCAAGCTTTCGACTTTCAGCGGACGTCCTTTCAAAATTCGTTTACTAGTTGGGAAATTTGTCTCATTCTTTAGCTGCAGTTGGAGGGCTGAAACAAAATCAGTCCAGAGGTCAGAAATGGCTCCCTGGGACTTTGGGACACCCCAGCCTAGACTCTCCCACCTGAGTTACGGATCCCAGCAGTTCCTCCAGAGATACCTCTAGCCTTTTGTGAGATGTTGCACATTTTCCACTCGGACAAAATCGCTGAACTGGTCACTGAGCATCTCTCCAAAGTTACAGTCACAGCTCCTCCGGACGTGGCTCGTGTATGCGGCTGAGTGTTCCCACGCTGCGGTGCACTGAGGACACTAGGGCCGCACGGACACCGAGTCCGCCCGAAGCCGTCCGAACCAAGAGGGACGGCGAAGTTCGACAAACTTACGGGACTTGGTAAAGACTTCAGCAGCTCTTCGCTTTTTTATGACAGAAAGAGCTGCGGGATTATTTGCTTCCGTTTGATTTCTAGCTGAGCCGCAGAGACATGAGTGGACTGTCCACAGAGGAGCTGTCCCTCAATGGACCTCTGAAGGTAGGAAGGAGCTCACAAACTCACATTTTTCTAATATTGGTGTTTAACTTACCTACTTTTGCTTATGGCTGTATCTGCCATTCATCTTCAACATTTACTTTAAAAAACGATAAAAAGTGAAATATTTCTACTATTTTCTTGGATTAGTAAGTATTGGGAGAAACAGTAAAATATGTTTTACTCGAATTAATTTAGAAGAACAACGGCTTTGTTCTTCTAAATACCCGTGATATTCAAATTTTGCTAACTTTGCGGGTTAAATGTGTTGCATCGTCGTTTTTAAACACTGGTTGCTCTTAACAGGCCGACCAGCAGGGGGCGACCTTAACAGAATAAACTCTGATACGATTGACCAATACATAGGGATTTTAGTTTTAAATAACTAGATAAGTTAGACTGGCAGACGTTGTTGAAACAAACATTTTGACTGTTTGAAGGTACAATTTGTCATCATTGATTTTGGGACTGGCGAATTGTTTTTTGTTTGTTTGTTTTTGTTATTTTTAAAAGTCGTTTACATTTGTTTAGGAAATTATTGGATTTATTAAATATTTTTTATGTGTTTACATGTATATATAATGGGATGACGGCAAATAACTTTAACTATTAGTTAGACAACGAAAAATGATGAATTTTTATGTCCAAGCAACAAACCGTCCTTACATCTCCCATGACTTTGATTAAACCCTGCTATAAAGCGTAAATCCATTTCTTTCACATGTCCAGGTTTTGAGATGTTTGCTCACAGCGTCGCCTCTGAATTAAATCTGAGTTCTTGTATAACTTTGCGGCTAAAGCAACCAACCTGAATGAAGTCGTAGAAATTAGGAGTTCTGCTGACACCATCCAGAACCACTCTGACACGAAACGTTCTGGTTTTATTTTTGATGCGGGTTTTTTCTCCTGATCTTTATTTATTTATTTAAAAGATATAATTAATTTTCTGATAGATCACACTGATGGATTATATAACATTCCATGTAATATTTATATAAGAATCTGAAAAGTGTGGCATGCATTTGTATTCAGACTCCTCTACAGTTTTTACAGAACCATCTTTTGCTGCGTTTAAACTTTAAAGTAATTTTTGCATGTTGAACATTTTGATGTGACGCAGACAGAGCTGGAACTGTAAGCAGCTTCTCTGGCCCTGTTGAGGAAAACCACCCCACAGCATGATACTGCCACCACCATACCTCACATTGAGCATATGGCGTTCGGAGTGACGTGAGGTGCCAGTTTATCCTGTGTACACACGACTTTACGTGAACCAGAGTGATTTCTTCCCTTTGGTTGCTGAGTTTCCAGGAATTTTACGGACCCATGTTGCAGAATCATACACAGGACGCAAAAAAGAAAGGATTTATTTACAATAAATACTGAATATGGACAGTGATGATAAGTTCTGGTCTCACAGTTCTGCAGCATCTGGGGAAAAGAGAGGCTGTTGGCACCGTTTGGACTGGTGTAGATAGGTCTGAAACGATTACTCAGATTACTCGTGATGAATCGATTATTTAGATCAGCTAATTTAGTTATCAATTCACTGTTAAGTGGAGTACACAGACTCCAAAAGAAACCATTTGATGAAAGAAAAACATACAGACAGCAGTAATAAAGCCAAAACTGAACAAGAAAAGACATACTTTTTGTATTTACGATAAATAAAAGTTGACCTAAAACTCTTCATGCGGCACCTGGTCAGAAGAAAAATCGAATGTTAAGCACCTTTTCAGTTCTTAATAGTAGTTAACATATTAATTTCATTGAATTAAACAGAAATTGTGTAAAGTAAATACATAATTTCTGCCATTTAATGTATTATACCAGAGTTAGCCTGAAGCTACATTTAATCTGCAACTCTAACTACACATTTATAGTGTTTTTGGTGCTTTATGTAACAGTTATTTAGATTTCCTTTAGTGGATTAAATATGAAAAAAAAACAACAACGCAACAATCAAGTGATTTTGAATGTGACTCATACGGGTGTCTCCCAATAAATTGTCACTTTGAGTTTTTTTCCTTCCTTCTATGTTTTTTTGCTTACTGACTGTCCTCAGAGGGAGCTGTAGGAGGTTGAAACAGAAGTGGGTGGAATACCACAGAGGATCTGCAACTAGTCACCATGAATTTTAATGCTTTGTTTTAATTTGACACATGCCCTCAGCTTTCTCCTGCTGTTTGGTTACAGAAACAGGACCAGAGCTAGGGGTTGGAAAAACAGCGAAGGCGAAGTGGACGATTTCCCGTGGCGTAAAGGTTGATAGAAAGTTCATATTTCTGTTTTCAATGTGGTGTAACAGGCACCATTTGCAAACGAGTGAATGAATGAATTTTTGGACCGAAGCCACACAGCAGTCATTTCAAAACATCTTAAACATTCACTACCAATCTAAAGGTGTGGCGAAAACATGAAGCCTGTTATTTTTTTTTTCTAGCTGCTGGATTGTAACCAGATTTTAAGCATCCACACATCTGTTGTCCATATCTGCTAACTCAGGCTCAAAATTCAGGACAAATAGAGAAGGAAAACTATACAATAAAACACGTTTTATAACAAGTTTATCTGTCAGAAGAGCGTATTTTCACATCTTGTTAGAATAAAAATGTTCTCTTTTCAACAAGACGCCGGTCCTGAATTTTTTTTTACTCCAAAATATGGCAGTGAAAGGCTTCCATAAGAAATAAAGTAGAGGTTGATTGACAACGCTAAGATCCTCCCCCTGGCTCTGATTGGTTGTGTTTTAGTCAGGAGCGCTGTATTTCTTCAGATGGCAATGATAGAATATGGAAAAGATTTATATTTTCACAGATTATCTGACTCATACAGTCAGGACAGTGACTTTTTTTTTAAGTTATATACTGCCTCTTTAAATGAGGAAGGAGTATGTTTTGAGAAAGCAGTCATTCTGGTTGTTTACCGTCAGCCGAGTTAGTTAGAGTTAAGTTATTAGCCTAATTCTATTTTTGACCCATATAGGAGCTGTGGTAGATTCAAGACATAAATCTTTACCAAAAAAAAAAAAAAAAGCAAGAATAAAGATAATGTGATTTTACAAAGTAAATGCTTTTTCATAAGACCTTCTTCAGTGTAACAACATTACCTCTAATTCATCATGGTGGCAGGCTTTAAATGACCCCTGGAGTCAGAGCGTGATCTCCTGGGAGATTCTGCTCTATTCTGGAGAGATAGAAGTGATATAATGTTAGTTTGATGGACGGACGGAGGGAGGAGAGAGGGAGATGGACCAGGGCCAATGATCTGCAAGCACAGGAACTAAAGAAGAGGCAGAGAAAAGATTTCATTGAGAGCACTTTCTCTACCCAGGCTGAAAAAATGGGAGCATGCCACAGAGGATGAGAGGATGAAGAGCAGCCAGGTGTTTTAGCCCATTTAGGCTATTAGTTTTGTTCATTAGATGCTCCCGGTTCAGGCCGCCGGCGGGGGGGGTTTGGGTACATTATTATTATTAAAACATTTTGTCCCCCCACCACCACCCCAAAAATGAGAGTCACATCCAAGACCCGGCACTAACGCAGGCTGAGGAGAAGCTGGACGCGTTTCCACTCCTTAATGTTCCCAAACGGAGCGGAGCAGAGAGCGGTACTGGCTCGCGGCCGATGCCCGGAGGAGAGCTGCTGCTGCGGCGGCGGCGGCGGCGGACCAGAGGGAAGGCGACACCCGAGAGTCGCTGTTCATTACCGGGGATCTAGGCGAACCTCGCCGAGGCTGAGGCTGAGGGCATGGGCTGCGCTCCCAGCATCCACGTCTCTCAGAGCGGGGTGATCTACTGCCGGGACTCGGACGAATCCAACTCCCCCCACCAGACCACCACCATCTCCCAGGGCACGGCGGCCGCCACGCTGCACGGGCTCTTCATCAAGACGGACGCGGCCGAGACCATCCCCTCCGTCATCACCTACCAGAGCCGCCACTCGCGCAACAACTCGCACCGGGGGCGAAGGGAGAACAGCGGGGGGCACGTCCGCATCGAGGCCGAGACCCAGACCAGCCACGCCAGCGTTAAGGTACCGGTACCGGTATACCGAACGGATCCGCGGTCTTTTTTTTTTTTTTTTTTTCCTTTTTTTTGTACCGTAGACAACGCAGTCGCCGCCTCCGTGTTGTGGGTGATAATAGAGACTCGGTGGAGGCCTTTGTGTTTTCGTTTTGGCTTCTCCTCCACAGGAGGGCCCGATGCTGCGGGTGTTCTCCTGAATCTGACGGGTTCATTCAGGCTCCCGCTCATTCATTGTCTCTGTCGGTCTGCATCCACACAGTCAGCAGGGAGAGCTGCTGTGTAATGATGATGCTGAAGTTTTGTGACAGTGGCTGCTTTGCTAAAAGGTCTGAGACATCCATTCTGTCACGTCGCTCCAGCAGGTGGTTCATGCACAAACACCTATAGCCCTGATTTAAGTTCTGATGACAGTTTAACCCATAATTTGGTTTATTTTACCCAAACAGCCATTAAAAATTGTATGGAGCCACAATAAAGTTGAAACCATGTGGAAATGGCCCTTTGTACAGAGCCGGATTTATAAAATGTTGGTCTGTGGGCTGCTTTTGGTGCCCTACCTCCCATGAATGGCAGTTACAATGGGTTGTTAAATAACAGTTGTGTGCTTGAATTTGTTATATAATTCACATCAGGGGTGGGTGATATGGGCTTAAAATTTTATCATGATATTTTATAGTTCTATTGTGATAATAAAAGTGACAATATTACTTTTTTAAGGTAACATTAGTAGGCGACTTGTGGAGCAATCAAAGCTCCACAAACAAATACTGCTCTTGATAAAAAATTATAATGTGTTTCTTCTGGACTTCAGTCACATTAAGAAGTGTATGATTTGTATCACTAAGCTGCTCACAGTAACCAAATTTATTCATATTTTCAAATGTATTGATATGTTTTGATCCTCACATTGAAAGAACCATGGAAGAAAATAATTAAAATTAGCAATCATTTTCAGTTATTCTTTATATACATACATGTATTAGTGTCTGAACAACAGACTGAGCAAGTGGAGGAAATCTTTGTTTGTTTGTTTTTTTCTTTTCTACATCATTATTTGACCCTGAGTTAAACTGCTGTTTGACAAATTTACAAATTCTCTGTTTGGTCTCATTCTACTTTTCTTGTAACTAGCAAGCGGAAAAATACCTATTAACAGAAATTACAAAATATTAATCAGAGTTGGTTCGATAAATTTTAGGGGATAAAAGTTGCGGCTTACAGATTTTCAAAGTAAAATGAAGTCAGCTTGTTGTGGGCATGAGGGGCGACCTGAAATCTAGAGTCCCACTCGACTTGCACCACTTAGGCCTTAATGCTAAAGTCTAACCCGAGCTTCATGAATTGAGTCATTTAATGCTCGTCTCAGCTCTCCATTGTATCATTCAGCTGATATCAGACTGTAAGTGCTCCTATTCTGGCAGTCACTTTGCATCTAATTGCTGCAAGTTATTTCCTTTTGTCACTCTGCTAAATGTTTGAGTACAGACGTTTTAAGCCCTGCAGACTTCCTTTTTAATGTGACTGAAGTTAACCCACTGCACTCTTTGTTTGCGTTGTACTTCTATCATTCTGTGTTTTCCTTTTACAGCTCACGTGTGTGAACATGTTGCTTTTTATGTAGAAATCTTTGTTTAAAGACGAATGTCTTGTGCTCAAACTGTTAAATGTGGAGACGTGAACTCAGTCTGAAAAGAAAAGTTCTTTGGGAAAAATTACGGAAGTGGCCCAGTAAGGTGCATTTTGATCAGTTAAAATCTGACATTCCTGCATTTGACCTGATTTTTCTGAAAGCGAATTCATGTGGATTCTCTAGTGGAAAATAGCTTCTTTTTTTTTCTTTTTTTTTTTTAGATTTTATGACATTTAAACAACAAAGTTTATGTGGATTTTATGTGATAGTAGCTGACTGTAATTTTAAAATTGTGGCATACATTAATACCCAAACTCCCTGAGCCAATCCTTTACAGCATTACAGAGCAGCTCTGCCCAGTGACTGCCCCACTCAGCTTCTTCAGACTAGCCAGCAGCAATTAGCAAACACCTGGTGGAAGTGTGCAATAGCTGAGCTCATTATAGAGGCTACTTCTCAGAGAAATGATGGTAAAACCGTCGTTAAATGTTTTCAGGTAAAAAGACTTATTCATGTGGAACTTTAATTGCATTTCTTATTTAATGGGAACGCTGCAATTGCGAAATTGTTTTTTGTTTTTGTCGATATCAGCGATATATTGATATCGCACACATTGATATTGCACACATTTGTAACAGAAAGAGCTATGTTTGCCCACCGGGAAGCAGGAAGTCCAGGATTACTAATGAATAAATGCTTCCAATATGTTGGAAGTAAGAAAACTACAAAACATCTTTCAGCTGAATTTATTTTACATAAATCGTTATAAAGAAAAAAAACAAAGACAATTATTTCCTTCTCTAAATTAAATATACAGACAATAAAGGTTTGCACAATCTCAATATTAGATTATTTTACTTCAATTTTGAGAGGGTGCCAATAAATAAAGAGGCAGATGTTTAACACTTATTTGGTTCTGTTTTTATATTCAAAGCCCTGCCTTTATATTTAAAGGAAGCTTTTATAATCCATTAGGTTAAGTTAAATTTACTTAAAGGCTACTGTTATATAAAGGTTATCTAACCAGAAAAAAACCAACTAACACAAAGTAACATGATAATGTCTGTATGCTGGTGTAAAAAGGCCTAAAATCCAACTGAGACTCGGCCGGTTTCCTTATCACATCCTGTGATAAAATTATATGGTCTGTGTGCTTCACAGTGATCCCTCTCATGAGGAGGCATGTGAACATCTTGATATTTATGATCAAACCCTAGAGGATATTGTTGTGTTTTGTTAAGAAGCAACGCAGCAGATGATCGAGTCATCAGACTCCCAGAGCACGTTAACCCATTCTGACCCAGCTGAGACCGGGAACGTCTTCCAGGAAGAAACCATTCCAGCTACGCTTCAGCTAAAGGCAATAAAAAAAAAAAAGACAATAAAAGTTAAATAATATAATAGTGATAATAAAACCCAGTTGCTATAAGTATTTTTGACGTCCCTGGTCAGCACCTGGTTGAACCATCTGCAGTTTTTGGGAACATTACAAAATGCCGAGTGGCTGGCTGATGTGAAAAATACCCAGCATGACATCCATCATATCTACTGCAGCTTTAATGTTTAAGGAATTAAAGTATCTCATCCACTTACCACAAAAAAAAAAAAAAAAAAATTTAAGAGGGAATTTTTAAAACTGTTAAAGAAGGAAATACACAGTATACTGCAGTCAAGCTCAAATGTATTCATGCCCCCGGCAGATGTAGGCAGAGTTAAAATGATTAATCGGATTAATGTTAATCATTTTAACCCTGATTAACACGCACGCGAGTCAGAGGGTCTTTTCGAAACCCCGTGGCGCAATGAAAGTGAGGGCCGGCGCGCGCCGGCTGAGGTGGGATCCCGGGCCCCTCCGAGGTCCGGGCGCACCACCGGCCCATCAGGGAGGTGGAGCATGAGCGTGTGTGATAGGACCCGAAAGATGGTGAACTATGGTGAAATAATAATCAGATTATTTTAATAATCTGATTCTTCTATCAGGTTATTAAAATATTTGTCGACTAATTTAGCAACAATCTTTATCTACACAGACTCAAAAGGCCATTTTGCTGCATAACATCAAAGTCAGAGCAGTAATTGAGCCAATACTGTTGAAAACATATAAATTTAGCATTTATGATAATAAAAAAATCATTATGTTCGACCCAAAACGTGGTATATTTTTAATTTTGTCAAGTTCAGATTCATTGGAAAAAAATCTCCCATTAAGCACCTTTTGTTAACTAATCACTCATATGTTAAAAAGGGATTGCTTTATTTGATTTTTAATGCATTTCTAATATTGTATAAAATAAGCTTAAATGAAAAATCTGTAAAATGTGCCAGTTCTTTAGCCGATTAATAGCTTAATTGCCAGAAAAATTGATTACTACTTAACTACTTAAGTAGTCAATTAGTTGTGGGCTTGATTTTTCTATCAGAAACAAACTGTAGGTTACGTAAACTTTTGATCAGGGTCATTTGGGTAGTTTCAGCCATTATTATGGTTTAAAAAGAGAAAACACAAAAATGTGTCATTATTTGGTTTCAGCCATACACTACCTATGGGTTGTCATTTATATTTAGTGACAAAATTTGACAGTAATGTGAAATCTCTGCCAAGGTATCTGCATCTGTATTTGCTGACCTCCTTTTCAAGCTGGCTTCTGCCTGCTATGCTCTCCCTCCTTTAGCTCTGAATGTCTGGATTCAGTCAGATCACACTGACCTGTTGTTCATAACTAAACGTTACAGATCAAAACTTTCATTCTTCTGATAAAGATACACTGTGCTTGTTGTCCATAAATAGACATTTTACAGCAGCGATTGCAGAACACTGAGGGCATTGTGTTGCGGCTAGCTCTTCTCCGGACACTTTCATTCAGGCTATTCTAAGCCGCTGCCTACGGCATGTACTTCACCGTGACTTGGATGACTAGAGTTGTCTCTCAGACACTCGAGGAAGAGCCACTTCCTACAATGTCCGCCGAGTCCAACGACGCCCACAGAGGTCGCCGTGAAGTAAAGCTCCTCCAGCAGAATCTCATGGAGGAGCTGGGATGATACAATTTTGGTGGCAAATTCTGTTTGTTCATTCGATCAAACAAAAGAGTGATCCACCGATCTTCATGTACTGACAGCCTGTTTGACTGCACCGTGATGCTACTCAAAATGTTTCTTCAAATATGATATAGTATTTTTGAAGTTTGATATGTTGGAAGATTATTATTAGACCTCCAGAGCGGTACTAAAGGATTCTCTGCAGTGGTTATACATTGATTTCATACTATAAAGCCTCATAGTAAAAATAAATAAAAAATACAATCAGCTACTAAGCCTATTCTGTTATAGATTGGCAGTGGATCCATCGTCCACCAGGGTGCTTTCGCGCTCCATCA